AACAGGAAAAGATGGTGGGGGAGGGAGACAGACAACAAGAAGAGGGAAGGAACAAATGTAACAATATTTTCAGATGATTTTCCTCTCCTTGCATAACACAGTGGACTGTCAGGTACACAGATTGGAGCTGCTTGAAGTGCTCAGTACTAATAATGCCCTTCTGTAAAGAGTGCTTGAGATGAAAGGAATTAAATAGCACCTGGCATTTAGTGCAGCACCACACTTGTTGAGTGGGCAGCCTGGGCTGCTGCCAGGTGGGCAACAAAGGACCTTCACCACATCATCTCCCAGGCACGCTCTCTGTTCTGTCTGTGCTCCTGCGCCTGGATGCAGACTTTGCTGTCTAACAAGTTGGGTTCATCTCCAGCAATTCTGGTGAATTCAGTGGTTTACCTGTGTCAGCCAAATTTGTTCTTGTTCTCCTCAGGATGACTAACGTAGCAAAGATGCAACTGTGATTTTGCACACTGGAATTCAGACAACATAACTGCCATGAATCAGAGGGTATCGCTCTGGATTTGCCCTTCCTGACAAACTCTTGATGTTTCATCATATTTGCAAATAGGTAAGCAAAGGAAAGGCAGCTGACTCCATCCCCCCCGCACAGAATTCCTGATCCTGCCCCAGCCTTTGAGAATGGAAGGCATCCTTATCATTTCTTCTCATTTTCTCACTTCCTAGTCTAGCCTGTACATCCTAGACAGAAAACAGAAAGACCATGTGAAAGGCTCCTTCTGTTGGCACAGACAGAAACTGGGAGGTTTTCCAAGCCCAATTCTGTAGGCTCCAGGAATCAGATTGTCTGGAGAAGATCCGGGTACATATCTGAACGTTTTGAAACTCAGTCTCAGAAACTTGATATGAGTTCCATATCCCACTCATATCCTGATATCCCATTCTCACTAGTACCCACCATTCCTCCCTTTAAACCCGTGCCCCACTCTGAGCCCAGAGCCACCACAAGCATCTGCTGAATGCCACTTACCACAGAAAACAAAACCAGTATTGCCAATCTGTACCAATTAGTGAGGTTCTTGTTTTGTCTTGCAAAAGCACTGGTAAAAGGGGCAGTAGTGCCTCAAATCTATGACATGAACAAATCCGAGCCAAAGGTGATCAAGTTCCAACCACAATAAAAATACCCATAGGAAATCCACTTTGCACACAATAAATGCAGTTTTATTTGCAAATCAGGTATTGGACTTGCTACTCTGCAACTGAGTTACTCCATAAAGCTTCTTGAACTACCTGTGAGGCAATCAAATAACATTCTCGTTCATCACTAAGCACATTGGCTTTGCCATTCCTGGGAATACCACACCCTCTTACAACCATTACCCAAATCGGGATAAGTAAGGCTTTTAGCCACAGTCCAGGCTCCAGACAATGGCTTTTCATTGCTACGCCCCAACCCCAGCGGATCTTTTCAGAGCCCCTGATTCATTTCAGAGGCTGCGGTGGGGTTTTGTCCTCCCTGCCTGCCCTCCAGCTCTGCTCCTGAATACACCCCATTCTGCCAGATCAATCTCAGTCGCTCTGCAGAATGAATGGGGGGCTGCAGAGAAGGCAAGCATTTGCAATCCCATCTCCCAGACTATACTCAAAAAGGCTCCAGAACGGAAGTAGCCTGCTCGATCGCAGTGTCTACCCCAGCCCCATCTGGGCAGGATAAAGTCCTTTTCAAGCAACCCAACTTGCTAATGTGCTGCAAAGGCAAAGGGCCCTTGGTACTTCAAGGAATTACATGCCACTTCCCAGGGAGAGTTTAGGAGACGAGATGTGGTACACGTCAAATTAACACCAGAATAACCACAGCAGTTGCTGACTCCAGAGATCATATTCAGATCCTCCCACTCTCTGCGTGCTGTGCCCAGCTCCCGGTGCTGAGGCTGGCAGAGCCCAGTGCTCCGTTGGCCAGGCTAACCATAAGCCAAGGACACTCATACCAAACAGGTCTGTCTGCCTGCTGTCAGGGCAGGATTGCAATTTTGGGCCCGGCCAGTTAAGCTGGGGTTTTGTTTTGCTTTCCCCACTCCCCTGCCAGGCAGGAGATCATGGTACAACTGCCAGGTTTGGTTTGCTCATTTGCAATTCTGGCTGGAGTTCAGAGCCATGGAGATGGGAGGCCCTCATGCCTTCTGAACCGATTAGCCCTTGATGCTGATGGGCATGGAGGACAGCCGTTCCCAACTGTATTGTAAAGCTCTGACAGATATTGAAGGGTCTGGGGCTGCAAAGCAGGATTTTGCTCGTTGCCCTCTGGCTCTGGACAGAAGGAACAAATCTGACACCCATCTCTGATCTTTCCATTTAAGTACTCACACAGCATCAAATCACACACTCAGCCTTCAAGTTCTGGGCCACTGTGGGAGCACTGCAGCAGCCCAGGCTGTCCTGGGCATCTGTGCACACACTGCAAGCAAACCAGAGTGATTGCCAGTGTGGTACGGTAATAAATTTGCCTCACCACAATCTGACAGGCTGCTATATAAAACTGGTAGTCTTTGCAAAGTCTAATGGTCAGCAAGCAGACAGTGGTTACAGCACATGCAACATTCCCAGGCTTGAGCAGAGGGAAGACAGAGCTGTCTCTACTGGCTGAAGTGATACTAATAGTCACTACGGGGATATAAAGCTGATAAGCAAAGACAGACCAATGTGTTGGTGGTTAAAGGTCAGACCAGGGGGTTTGGGGTGGCTTGTTACAGCTAAATGCTTCCTAGCCAGCTTTTCTGCAGCCACTGCTTCAGCAGTGCCAGCTACACTCACTGCAATTCAATTACAGTCTGTAAAAGGCAGGAGTAAATCTACCCCACAGTTCAAGTGCTGACACCACTTCAAACCCGGGCCTTCCACAGTCCCTGAGCATCAGCAGCCGTGGACACCCTGAGCCAGCTCTGCCTGTCCTGCTCCACCTACTCACACCCAAGCCAAGGCACTGCTCAACACTCTTTTGTAATGCTGCCACTTCCCTCCCCGCCTCGCAACACACTGCCTGTCCTCTTCCACCTCCACAGATGGCCACATCCTGCCCTTCCTGTTTCACTCATCCACCTCCTAAACATTGCCTAAAAACCTCCTCTGGCTCCTAAGAAGGATCTGAACTCCTGCGGGCTTTGGGGAGCGGTTGGTTACCACCACAGGGACAAAAATGCCATCTTAAGTCACACATGCATATGTACACATAGAAGTGTGCACACTCCTTGTCCCCACTCCAGAACATGTCCAGCACTCTGTCCAGAGCTGGAAGGACCATATTATATATCAGACACGTGCTCATTTTTATACATGTGGCATAGATGTCATGCAACATCTTGTCATCTGTTTCCAAGCTGTCACATTCACAAATTTCTTGTGCCTAGCTCCTTCAGTCAAACCTTTTTCAACTGGCCTTATCTCCTCTCAGAAAGCACATCTGAGACACCATCCTCTCTGCTTGAGCTACTTGAACCTGCCCCAAGCACAGCATGAGAGGATACCACGCTCCGCACACAGGCTGAGGCAGGAGGACTTCAGATAACAATCCTCAAATGCTTTAAAAACTGAACAAAAAAGGGATGCAAAATTTAAGTTCCTCTGTGCTAAAGCTGCCTACAGTCTCCCATGTCCATATTATGGTGCAACCAATTTGCTTCTGCAGCAATTTTCACTTCGGCTTAGCCCTGAGAATCTTGTGCCCACGTCCTGCAGAGCAAACTTCCACCTATGCCTCCTCCCCAAGTGCTATACTCAGTCTTATCACAGAGATAAACTAGAGCAGATGGTTGGGGTTTAAGACACAAAAGAGACAAAATGGGTTTTCAGATAAGATTTGATCCAAAGCAGCAAACAGAACAAGGAAAACAGAGAGGCCCCAGAAAGGGTCCCAGGGCACCAAGGAGTCAGACCCTTTGAGAGGTGGACAGAGAATAGAAAGTACAGAGAGCTCAGAACTCTGGAAGGAGACTGTCACCAGAGTAGCTGAGCCAACAGCAGCAGCTGGCCACCACCAGGAACACGTGGGGTGTGTTACACACAGCTCGGCTCGCTCCTAAGGTAAGTTCAATAAAAAAACAGGGTCACAAGACACAGGAAGAAAGAAGGAAAGACAAGGGAAGTTGCCAAAGTATAAAGGTTATAGAGTTGCTTGTTTCTCTTCTGGCTCTGATCTGTCCTGGAGAGGAAGAGGTTTGTTAAGGGTAAGACTGCACAGCACCCGGACTGTGGAAATCACTCCTGCAGATCACAAGGGGAACACACACAGAGATTGCCAGGAAAGGAAAAGAGAAAACAGTCGTGACACAGGGACTCTGCACAGGAATAGTATGAAACACTCGGCTGTCTGCTTACGGAAAGCTGAGGACAGATTTTCCAAGCACAGATTTGGCTGATCTAAGCCCCCACCTGAACAACTATAAGCAGATAAATAAAGAAAATAAATAAAAAAGCAAACAAACAAACAAACATTATCAACAACAACAAAAAAAAACAAACAAAAGAACAACTACCAAACAGGCTTTTAACTTTTTTAAATGTCAAGGGGACTGTGAGGACAGCGAAGGCAGTTCAGCTCAGTCACTCACACAAACCTGCTCACTTTTCTAGACAGGGCTGCTCAAACCGATTTCATCAGAGGCCATGGAAGTTGCGTCCCTTAGAGCACAGTTTTGAGATAGAGATATATATATGTATGTACGAGAGAGGGGGGGAAAAAACCACCCCAAAACTCAAAAAACAATGCCACTCTATTTTCATATCCAAAAGATTAATGGCTGGGTTTTAATTTTTTCTTATTATTTATTTTTTTCCTTTAGAAGAGAAAAGCCCTTCCCCTCCCTAAACCTTTCCCTGATGCCACAATGATGCTCCGAAGCCCGGCGAGCCCCGGGCCGGTACCGGGGGAGGGAGGCGGCACTCGGGGGGTCCAGCACATCCCCGAGCCCCCCCAGGCTCCCAATCCACCCAAGCAAACCCCTTGCTCGGAGGGGGCCGGAGCGGGTCTGGCGGGGGGAATCACTCACCGTTCTCTCGGCCACGGCGAAACCTCTGGGAACGGCAAAGCCCCCGGCGCGGGGGGCGGGGATGCAGGGCTGGAGGAGGGAAGCAGGGTCGGAGGAGGGAAGCAGGGCTGGAAGCAGGGCTGGAGGAGGGATGCGGGACGGAGGCGGCGGAGCGCGGAGCGTTGCGCGGCCCCCGCGCTCCCCGCGCACAATGTCCCCGCCGGGCGGGACCGGCCGCGCGTGGGACCGCGGGGGCGGGGCCGGCCGCCGCGGCCGCCACCAATCAGCGGGCGCCGCGCCCGTGACGCGCCCTCTCTGCCACGCCCCTTTCGGGAGCAGCGACCAATAGAAGAAAGAAGAGACGACTTGTGGGCGGGGTCAGTGCGAGCCGTAACGCCCCGGGTCCTAAAGGCCGGGTCAGCCCGGCCGAGCTGCCTCTACCCCCCCGGGTGCCGAAGCGGCCGGGGGAAACCGCCCTTCGGGCTCGTGGGGAGCCACCCGTGCCACGCCGACGGCACGGACCCGTCCCCTCTGCCCCGGCCTTTGCCCTCTGAGTCAGCGCCCCCCCGGCTGCGCTTGTCCCGCAGGATCGGCATCCCACGGAGTGATGTCACCCACCCACCTCCCACCCACGCCTGCAGCGGGACAGGGGAAGTCAGCGAAACTCTCCTAAAAATCCAGGCATATGTGTGAAACCGCCGGGCTCAGCAGAATTTGAGTGCGTGGGGAATGCGGAGGTCACCAGTCGCACCCCCGGGGTCCCGCTGCCCGCGGGGAGCGGCACAGCTTGGGGTCAGATGGAGCCTGGCCAGGGTCCAGTCCCTGCGTGGGGACCACCCGTGGGACTGTGCCGTCATCTGGAAGGAGCACGGGGGGACCTGGAAGAGTTCCCTTCAGCAACACCCGCGGGCTGAGCCAGGGAAACTCATTTAGAAACAATAACATTTTCCAAAACAATAACATTTTTCAAAACAATAACATTTTCACATAACGCAAGAGCAGCTGGAAACAGCAGTGCCTCTGATCCCACCCCTGTTTTCCAACCCCTGCTCCGGAGTGAGGCACAGCAGGTACCTGCAGACCTGCCCTGTTAAATAATTTCACTGTGAGTGGCCATGCCTTCCCTGGGATATGTGGAATGTTCCAGCCACCAGAAAAAAGAAGCTGAAAGTTTTTTTTATCTACACAAATTTTGAATACGTAGAGGATGCAGGGAAGAGCTGTTCCTTATCTTCTCCCACGACCCCATTTCTTCAGGGCCTTACTCCCGATACTTAGTCACAAATGTTCTGTAATAATATTCAAGTGAAAAACTAACAGTTCTGTTAAATGTATCTCCTCAGATAATAGCTGGATGGAAATATCTGGGTCCAAATTGTGCTGAACCTCCCGTACACCCAGCGATGGACTGTTTAAGGGCTGTTTCTTCCAACCTAGTGAAGGAAATCTCTCCAGTTTCCCACTGAAGTAACTACCACTGCTTGTCCCTGTTTCACAGCAGTGACTGCATTAAAGTGTTGCCTGCGTGGCCAGTTTCATATGCTGTGGGCATGGGAGGAGTTAGATGGTTGCTGCTATGGGGATATACTGAAACAAAAATTCCAATAAATACAAAATTGAGTCCCTTCTTTTCTTCCCAGCTTGAAACAGAAGGTCAGCTACAGCTGGCAGAGGCTGTGCATGGTAAATAACAAAGTACACTGAAGATGTTGAAGTGTATCAAATTCCTGGTTTTTGGATCTGTATTGTTCCGGGTTCATTGCAGTTTAACTCTTGGACTGCTGCTATCTTCCCAACTACAAGCACAGCTACTCTTCAAGAGGCTGAAAATTGTCCTGAAGCCTGCTAAATGACTTTAATGAGCTGTTCAGGAAGACAACAGGGATTTGTGCAAGAGGAGGGTGTGGTGGCATCCTGAACACATCTGTTAAACAACAACGACATGAAAGACAAAATTGATTTTCCCTTTTCCTGCGGGGTTCCACCCAGCTGCTCCAGAGTATGAAAGAGCTGTGGAGAAAAGCAAGGCCATATTTCTTAATTCTGAAGCACTTTCACGGTGCGGCTACAAAAGCAAAATGCCATCCCAGCAACCTGTATGGGTGAACCCAGCCTGTCCTCTGCAACCTGGCAGGGGGGATTCTGGCAGCTGCCTGTCATAGGGACCTACAAAGCTTAGGAGAGCTCCCTGCAAAACTCTACCTGAAAAGTTGCTTCTAAGACACGATGTCCATAGCTTATCTCCCACCCACCAGCTCTTGAGCTGTGTAACTCCCTCACTTCCTCTGGCTGCGGTAGAGCTAAACAGAGGGCAGTCCCAGGAAACACTGCAGGAAACGTCCTGTGCTGTAGCAGTACACACATCTGGTGTTAAGATGCTCAAGCAGATGGGATTAGGATCCTAGCTTTTGTTCCAAGGGAGCAGCAGAATGCCAGATAGGGCAGTGATGGGCACACCAGACACGCAGACTGGCAACCACCGTGAAGGAGGTGGGGAGCCAGACAACTGAAAAGGCAGGGGCAGCACAATGGGAATACTAAGTAGCGAAGGAAAAAAGCTGGCAGACATTTTAAAATGTTTTTAAATCTCTCGTTAAAGAGGATTTAAGAACGAGGCGTATGTAGGGGAAAGAAGCTTAATTTATGATGAATGTTAATACCAGCTCCTTACATATGGTACTTCCCTCGAGCATCCCTGAGGATTTTTGAGGGACTAGTGCTGTGGTTATGATTTCAGTGTAAAGGGGAAATTCTCGTGCATTATTAAACAAATCGTGCCCTGCATTGGCCTTTGGTTTGATGTATGTGATGTGTAGTTGATGTCAGCCAGCTGGGAAGATAGGATTCTGCAACTTGTTGGCATTTTGAGAATAAGCTGGGAAACTGCTGACTGAGATCCCCTCCTTCATTGTGAACCATCAAAGGAAAGTGTTATTTTTTTAAAAATTTGGAAAAAAAAACAACAACAAAGTTTTAAATAATAGTGTTTACCCTTTGGCTATATATGTTTAGGATAACATGCATTATGGATGGAAAATTTAAACATTTGCAAAGTTAAACATTTGATTTAACTTGTTACAGAAATCAGCACTAATTGTCTGGTTCCCATTACATCCTCACTTTCCCAAAGATGGAGAGTCAAAAGATTTACCCTAGGCAAAATTCACTAGCAGGTTTTATCCATTTATATCATAGATCTAGATCCTGAGGTAGCTAAGTAGCTGACCTTCATAGAAGTAGCAGGAGGGATAAAATCTGGCCAACAAACCAAGTTGACTTGTGTGCATCTATTTCTATTTTCCCCTGAACACTTTCCAAAGGGTTAAATAATAAAATTAGTGTTTTCTCCTCTAGGTCACTGCTTGCAGTCCATCACAGGTCATGTCACCACCAGCTAATGGCTGCTAAGTGGTCTGAGTGAAATTAGTTTAGTGGGTCTCAAGCCAGAAGCCAGTTGACAAATGCCCAAAAATCAGTACTCCAACTGGCTTCCTTGCTGGCAGTCACAGTGGGTTGGTCAAGGCCATGCAAATTCAGCATTTCCCCGAGGCTAGGAACACAGACTAGGTTGCTTGTGAATACTTTCCTCTGTTGTGAATGCCAAAAGTCTTCAGAGAAGGTCACAGCACAATGCCATGAGTGCCAGTGCCTGAGGACCATGCTATCACCCTAAATCCAGCTATCCAGGGAACTGGTGGGAGCAAAGGTAGGAAAAGCTGATGAAGACTCCTTGCAGAGGCAACTCTGACATCAAGGAGAGGATGCAAAGTGGCAGTGGGAGTGTTGATCAAAGGTTTCACCCTTCGACTTGTCCTGCACGGGAGGGCAGGCTGCAGAGCTGCCAATCAGACTAAACCAATTTAGCATTCCCTGCAGTAACAATAAAAATCCAATCTCCCTCTCTCTCTGCCTTTTCCTCCTGATGCCAGATTTAAACGACCTTACTTTTTTGGCAACAGGAAACTTCACAATTAAATATAGAAGCAGAGCAGACTTTGGGATAGAACTTCCAACCAGGGAACAACAGATGGCATTGTTTGCTGGGCTGGAAAAGCTGCATCTGCTCCTAGAAGAAATGCTAATCGGAGCTTAATTAGGCATTCAGAGGGAACCGTATCCCATCCGCAGGACAATGGCCATGTGTACACAATCCTGAAAAACACGGGGAAGGAGATACAAAATCATCAAAAATCCTCACTGGACCAAGTCCAAATTAAGCACATAATGTGACAGGGTAACCCAGAGAGTTTCCCCATGCTGAAATCAATCCAAGCCACTCAAAATAAAATTGTAGTTGTCAAAGACTTATTTGATTTCATTTGCAAGTGGTCAGTGATTTTGTTTTCGATTTCAAAGCAAATAATTCTAGCCTAACACTGGAATCAGATCCTACCCTGGCCGCTCTCTGACTCGCTGAGGTGTGGCAAGATTAAAGGGTAGCTGAGATCTTATAGCAAGTACCACAAATGGGGATGACAGTCTGAAAGATCAATAGCACACACCTTGCTCAGGATAACTGATCCATCTATAGAATCTTAAACGAAATAAAGAAGAGGATGGTGGAAAATGTTGCCTCGTTCACTCCAACTAGGTGTTTAAGCACAAAAGGAGCCCCATGATGTGCAATGCTGGTGCATGTGAGGACATTGCTCCTCCTTCCCTTCTCAGCCCTGCCAGCTTCCCCCAGAGGTGCGGGCAGGCAGGCAAGAATCTGTGTCCTTCTTTCAGTGTCTTCTCCTTGGGATACCAAAGCACCACCTGAATTTGGAGCTGGCAAAACAAAACTGCCAAGTATTTCACCAGGAGACTGGCCCCAGCTACCAGTTTTGCTGGCACTGCAGAGATCCCTGTTGTGCTGAGGCTTTGCATTTCAGCCCCCATCTTGTTTTAATGTCCTCTTTTTCCCCTGCTTGGTTCACAGCAGCTCATCTGACCAACCTGGTCTAGTGGAAGATGCCCCTGCTCATTGCAGGGGGTGTTGGACTAGGTGATCTTCAAAGGTCCCTTCCAACCCACGCTATTCCATGATTCTATGCCCTGGTGACTGAGACTACTCTGTGTACCTGGGCTCTCCAGGCCACATCAGATGCCTGGGACAATGTGCACCTCATGGACAGTGCCAATGGGGACCCCGCTTTGCTGATTGTACACCCTACTTCCAATAGCCCTGGAAACATTCTGCATGGGTAAAGCAACACCCAG